CTAGTCATCCAGTCATTGAAGCCAGGTCAAGTGGGTATTACCTGCAATTGTGAGTGTTCTTATGTATATGCCCTCTCTTCTTATCAGCTGGACGCTTCACTCTCCACTCTAGTCCTCTGTGGCTGTCACTGACTCTGGGCCCAAGAGTCCCCAGGTCTTGCCACACTGCTGGCTGACAAGGTCTCCACCCGGGTTCACAGGAGTTTATTGAATGTTGTAGGGCTTAGCTTGCAGCTTCATTGCTGTTTCTCCCTCAATTTCCCTTATCGGTTACCAATGTGGTCACCAGTCAGAGCGTGTATTCCCATTGAGTCTTAGTCTTGGAAGGGGGTTTGCCCTGAGGGGACCTGACCACTTGCCTTGAAGTCTCCTGGATGAGCAACTTGCTTGTTCTTGAAGTAATCAGTCGGACTGCCTATATTGTTTTGTATTTCTCCTGTAGGTCTTTCTTTCAAGAAGTTATCTTCTGTTCTTCTAGCTACTCCAGGCTGGTCTGTTTGTCCTTTCAAGTGGAAATTTCCCACTTCAGAAGATTCTGGATGGGGTTCAGGATTCCACCTATGGTCTTATGTAATATAGAGACTCTACAGGAAGCCTCCTTCACTGGACACGTTTAGCCCCATTTTAGGTATCCCAATCAGTTATAGGCAGTGATATTTCTGGCTATTCCTTTCTCTCCCCCTCAGGTGTCTATTTTATAACGGTATGCCAGGGAAACCAAGATTCAAAAGACAACCAAGCATCTTAACATTATCTCCCCCCTTTTCCCCATTCCAACCCTGTCTCACAATCCCTGTATCCCAGAGCCCTGTTGTTTCAAGGTTGTGCATACATCATTTACCTCTGTCCCACTTAGACCAATGCAAACCTGCCTAATTGTTCTCCCATCCTCTTTGTTCTTCCATTTCCCTCCCCCTTCTTGTGTATTGCCCCCCTCCCCACCACCCAAACTAGCCTATGACTATTCCCTGCTCCACTTTCCCCTCGCTCCCCTTACCCCATCCCCCAAATCCCGGTAACCAGCAAAGAATCCCCCCCACCCCCTTTAGTATGGGTTCTTTCCCTTAGTCTTTTACAGTAGTGGTCCTATGCAGTATTTCTTCTTTTGTGACTGACTAATCTTCACTCAACATAATGTCCTCAAGGGTCATCCATGTTATTTGGTGGCTTGCCGCTTCCTTGTCTTTCATCAAGGTAGCATAATATTCCACTGTGTGCATGTACCACAGTTTGTTTATCCATTATTCAGTTGATGGGCACTTTGGCTGTCTCCATCTCTTTGCTATTGTAAATAGTGCTGCTATGAACATTGGTGTGCATATAGCTTCTTGTGTTATGGTTCGTATTTCTTGTGGGTAAATACCAAGTAGAGGAATTGCTGGATCAAAAGGTTTTTCTATTTCCAACCTCGCGAGGAAGCGTGATATTGCTTTCCAGAGAGGTTGGACCATTTTGCAATCCCACCAGCAATGCAAGAATGACCCAGTCTCTCCACATCCTTGCCAGCATTTATTGTCCTCTAGTTTTTTGATGTTTGCTGTTATTGTTGGTGTGAGATGATATCTCATTGTTTTGTTTTGCATCATCTCTAATGACTAGTTTGTGAGCATTTCTTCATATGTTTGTTGGCTGCCCGGATCTCTTCCTTGGTGAAGTGCCCATTTTTTAATTGGGTTATTTGTCTTTTTCTTGTAGAGGTATTGTAATTTCCTATATATTTTAGAAATGAGTCCGTTGTCTGATTTGTAATTGCAAAAGATTTTTTTCCCATTCTGTGGGTTCCCTTTTTACTCTTCTGGTGAAGTCTTTTGACACACATAAGTTTTTAACTTTTAGTATGTCCCAATTATCCATTTTGTCTACTTTTGTTTGTGTAGTTTTCAAAATGTTTGGTAGTCTGTGTATTCCCTGAATTAGTGCCCTCACTTTTGTCCCTATTTTTTCATTGATGGCCTTAATAATTCTGGGATTCACATTTAGGTCTTTCTAATAAAATTTTAATCCACTCATCTTTCAAATCTTTAAATGCTAATGGTTACAAATGCTTGAAATGTTCATTGCTTCCCTAAGCCTAGACCAGGTCCCTGTCACATGGTGCCACATTAAGCCCTTTCCTGTACACTAGTTATAGAGACTATGTGTCACATTAACCGTTTCCTCTACATTGGCTATAGGCTCTGTCTCACATTAACCCTTTCCTGCACACTAGTTATAGACTATGTCTCTCTCCTTGTAGGTAAGATCCATGAAACAGGAACTGTGGTTAATTCAGGGCTGGCAGAGTTTTCTTGAAAATGTCCAGATAGTATACAGCCTAGTCCCAACTATTCATTATTCATCTCTGCCATCGTACGTAGTCCAAAACAGTCTTCAATAAGACAGAAATGAAAGCACGTGTCTGTGTGCCAACAAAACTCCAAAATCAGGCCGTGGACCAAAGGGGCATAGTTTGTTGACCCCTTGTCTACATCACCAGCATTTGGCATATAGGAGGAACTCAAGGAATGAATAAGGAATTCTGGTAGCGTAGTAGATTATAAGCTAGGTTGCTAAGTGCAAGGTTAGGAGTTCGAATCAACCAGTCGCTCTGTATAGATTTAGTCTTGGAAACCTATCTAGGTTGGCTGTGAGTTGGAACCAACAGAGTGACATATAGCATCCCCACCAGCAGTAATGAATAAATAAAGCTGAAAAATGCCATGGAGTTTGGGAATTAGATGGAAACTGGAATGCAGGGCAGGTGGGTTGAGTGGAATGGTAGGGGTGGGAGAGAGAAAACAGTGGTTTGAGATGTGAACAGAAGTTGAGGAAGTAGAGACTTTTCTTCAGATAGCTCCACAAAGTGGTATCTTTGTAGTGGAGCATGGTAGGCCATGAGCACGGTGGCAGGTTCTGACAAGTGGGCAGGGCAGGAGTAAACAAGGGAATCACTGAGGAAGGGAGCAGGGGCATGGGCTCCAGATCTCCCGTGCACCTAGGGGATGAGTCCTGAAGGAGGATGCCACCTTCTGAGGCTGAGGAAATGCGATAAAGACAAGTTACTGTGTGCCATCAAGTAGATTACAACTCCACAAGTCAGGGGGAAAGTGCCTCGGACAAATGACTGGGTCTTTTCTCCTGCAGGCTTGAATGACCAACCTTTTGATTAGTAACCTAGCTCTTAACCATTGTGTCCCCAGGGGTCCTTCAAGAAAAGGTGCTGGTGGCTTTGTGCTGTAGAGTTGTTCCGACTCAGCGATCCTCTATAGGGTTTCCAAGATTGTAAAACTTACGGAAGCAGAAAGGCTCATCTCTCTCACGTGGAGTGGCTAGTAGATTCACACTGCTGACCTGACAGTCAGCAGCCAAATTTGCACCTACTACGCTACCTGCATCCTCTGTAAAATGTGAGGCAAGGCCATGCGGCGAGGAGAGTATGAGTGCGCAGGCTCAGGACCAATGAGCCTCTGACAGGTTAGGAGCTGCCAGCGGACAGGGAGCAGTGGCAGCCCCGGACACTTACAGGTCTCCCAGGAAGGACAGCGCCAGACTCTGCATCTTCTTCTGAGGAACATATGGGGGAACGCTGCTCACTGAGGGGGCGCTGGGTGTTTCGTGAGTTCTGATTTAGTGTAAAGTGTATCACTCACTGAGTCACCAGTACTACCTGCTGTCCCTTACTATCCCTTCCATTTCCCATGCAGGTACTGGCAGGCAGGCCTCAAGGACGATGAGCCATGCCTGAAACACGTAGACATACCAAAAGGCATTCAAATTCCAGAAACAGGTAGCAGTAAGTTTCCTCTCCCATGTCTTCAGAGGTTTAGGAGAGCCACAGGGTTTGGGAAAGCTGGTAACAAAAATATCGAGGGCATACACTGATACCAGGAGCCCACGTGGGGCACTATAGGACAAAGGTCGGCGGTTCACACCCATGAGCTGCTTCTTGGTATACAGAATCACTATGAGTTGGAACCACTTGATGGCACTTAACAACAACCAACAAAAAACAGGAGCTCACAATATCCTGAGGGATACTTTTATGGCAATTCCCCTCATTTGTGTAAATTACAACTTATTTGCTATTTGTCTATTAGGCAGATGATCTGAGTACAGCAGAAAGACACCTTTTACCATAATGATGCATAATAGAGAATTCTTCTTTAAATGGAAAAACAACATGTGGTTGGGAACTCAACAATAAAAAGATTACAGCAGTCATTCAGTTTTACAAGCATAACACAGAATTAAACCTATAAAACATAATTTCTCACATAAGAGAAAGTATTTGGTATTGCAGTAAGTATTTCAATAATTAGAAAAGTTTTTCTCAGAGTCAAAAAACTATAAACCAGTCCATTTCACTTACTGAAAGAACCAGAGGCCTGCAAAAAGATCACACATTTCAAATTTCATTCATTCTTTCATCATTGTAACCAGTGATAGATGTGTGATAAAGCTTTGGGTCCCATTTTGACTTCTTTTTTTGATAAAGAGTAAACCCACCTAGGAGTCTGGTGTGGGTTAATGTACCAGACTGCAAAGCTGTTTGAAACTGCAAGGTTGGCGGTTCAAGCTCACCAGCCGCTCCCTGGAAACCCTCTACAGGGTCATTATGGGTCAGAACTGACTCGATGGCACTTAACAACAACAAACCTACCTAAGAACCTTTTAGTTGACATGCCTGAAATATCAGGACTTATTTTCTTCTTGACATAAGTATATCTTAGGTATAATTGCTATTTATTTGTATTTACAGACTGAAGGGTCTTATTAAGATTCTAATAATAAGTAAAACTGCAATTCACATTTTCATTTTGATAGGTTTCACTCCTCACAAATCAAAAGTAAGTTTCCTAAAACAGCAATGCTCACTGTAGTCTTCCAAGCCCTTCATAGAGAGCTAGCAAGCAGCATCTATCTATCTCGGAATTCACTGAGAGTCAGCTGTCTGACCTTTTTATCTGGAAGGATTTCCAATGTACCTTGCGAACTATATAAAAGTAAGTTTACTCTCTTACCCTATTGTTGGGTTGATGTTCGGATCAAAACTGTCTTCCACAAATCGCCATACAATGCTCGATTTACCTACACCTGTATCCTGAAAGAGAAAGAGATGGTCCAATAAGAGATCATCCACCTGCTTGCAGACACTGAAAGCTCCCAGTGGCTTAACTTCAGGACTTGGCAAACACGTACGTTTTAGAAGTTACGGGGCAGAAAGGGTGCTTTCATAAACATCCGGGAGATTAATTGTTATTAGGTACAGTCAAGTTGCTTTCGACTCATGTAACCCCATGTGGGCAGAGCTGAACTGTTCCATAGGGTGTTTTCAAGGGTCTTACCTGGCAAGTCTTCTTTCCAGGAGACTCCTGAAGTTTTAAAACAGTGCTGGGACTTTTGAAGGAGGAGCCCTGGCAGCGTAGTGGGTTACAAGCTGGGCTACCAACCGAAAGATCAGTGGTTTGAATCTACCAGCCGCTCAGAGGGAGAAAAGGAGGCTTTCTGCTCCCTTAAAGGTTTACAGCCTGGAAAACCCTACACAGAGTTGCTAAGAGTTGTAACCGACTCCACAGCGCTTAACAACAAAGCCTCTGTTGAAAGCGGAAAGTGACAAACCCATTTGCTTTTAAACATGTATCAACAAAGTTATGAACTCTTGAAATCCTTCTGAGTAATCCCTGATACATCCCAGCCCCACCCTACTAGGGTAAAGAAAAAAAAAAAACAAAAAAACCCCAAAAAAGACTAGTTCTAGGTGGAATCATTTTCGGTCTTTAAGGGAGCAACTTGGAGGGAGTCGTGGCGTGGCGCTGAGGGCTTAATGCGGTGGACTGACTGCAAAGTCGGCGGTTCAAGCTCACCAGCCGCTATACAGGGTCACTATGGGTCGGAACCGACTCCAGAGTACTTAACAACAACAACAACAACAACAACAACAACAACAAGGGAGCAACTTGGGAAGAAGAGCCTCAACCTGAAAAAGAAGGTTTTCCAATAACAAGGTTGCTCTGACAGTACAGAAAGCTACAACGTCAGATTAGTCTTGGGGTTTCCTGGAAAGACAGGTTTCATAGATTCGACACCCCTCCTTACAAGTAGTTACAAGGGGTGTCAGGGGTAATTCACAGGCTCCAGAACAACAGTCAGATGGGAAAAGGGGCGAAGGCGCTCTTAAACCCTACAGACCTGTCACTGCTTCGGCTGTGGGAGACCCGGTTAAGCCGCAATTCATTCCTGGGAAAAGTTGGCTGAGCAACTATTTTAGAACTACTTTTAATCTTGGGGCAATGAGGAGCTGGGAGGGCGCCTTACACTTTGTTTAAGGGACTCGGAATCCCCTCCGGGGGCTCCAGGAGGGAAAACGGGCAGGGTCCCCCCTAAGGTCCCATTGGTGGTTACAGCCAGGTGGGCGACAGGTAGGCGGAGGGACCCCCTGGGTGTCCCGGCCGGGTGGCCGGGCTCCTGTCCCCGCGACCCTCCCGGCCCAGCTTGCCACCACTCACCCCCAACAGACACACTTTGAGCTCCCTCAGCGCCATGGCCCCGGGAGGGCGCGGGCCCGCCGCCGCCCTAATTTGAGGAGGGCCAGGCCGGGCCCAGCACGAGCAGGTCTCGGCGCCTCCGCCGCAGGGCCAGTCCCGGCCGCGGGACGCGCCGAGGCGGTGGCTGCCCGTTTGCTGGCCCTCCGTCCGGCCCGTCCGCCGCCAGCCGCACCGGCCCGCCTCAGCAACCTGGACGATACAGCGGCCTCAGAGGCGCCACCGCCGCCGCCATCTTGGGACGCCGGCCGGGTCACATGACTTCCCCGCCCACCTCGGCAGCCACTTTCCTCGCGAGGGAGGGGGCCCGGCCTACGCGGCCGAGCTCTCCGGGAGGCGTGGACCCAGAAAGTGAGACCCCGCCCCTCCACGCCCCCTCTGCCTCAGGCCCGGCCCCCGGCGCGCTGGTCCCGCCTCCAGCCCCATCCCAAGATGGCGGGTGAGTGGGGCTGGGCTCCCGGGGCGCCGGGGCAGTCACCCCTCCCCCTCCTGCGACCACCCCGCGAGCCCGGGGAACCCCCCTGCCTGCCTGACCCGCCTGCCGTAGCCCCCTTGTAACTCCGTGTGTGTCTCTTGGTTTTCAGAGATCCCCTTGTACTTTGTGGACTTGCAGGATGACTTAGACGATTGTAAGTAACAGTTGGGGCATCCCCACCCCTCCCTGGGGCCCTTTCACAGAATTTGGGGTGCACCGATCGTAGGGGCCGGCTACGGACTAGTCTTTCCATGTTAGGGTCTGAACAGCGGGACCCTCAACTGTCACCATCCCATGTGGTGGTCCCTCATCCCTGGAGGGGCGGGCTGAGGATGGGGAGCGCTCCCTCCAGGGGGGGAAGGACTTTGTTGTTGGGAGACTTTCAACTTCCCGCCACTTTCTCTTTGTCTTCCTCCCCCTTCAGCTGCCCCTTGAGGGACAGGGACAGGCTTGCGGCCAGTTCCAAGTCCCAGGTCGATTCTGGGGTGCAGCCACCGGGGGCTGCTGGTTTCCGCCCCCGGGCCTCGCCTCTTCGCTGGGTCTTCTCCGAGTAGCCGGAGTTTGGGAGGTCCGGCTCCTTGGGGACAGCCAGCCCCTTCTTAGATCCCAAGTTGCTCATTGGCGCCCGCGCCTGCTGGGTGGGTTTCTTTTCCTTTGGCCCCTCCTGCCGTCTTGTCTTCCCAGTCACTTGAAGGGCTGATGTCATCCTGAGAATGCAAGTTCTCTTTTGTGTTGAAGGAAGCATTTCCTTTCCAGTCAACATTTCTTGAACACCTACTTGTGAGTCAGGCCCTGTGCTGGGTCCTGGACTTAGAGACCTGAACCAGGAAGAGCGCCTGCCCCTCAGAAGGCTCCCAGGTTAGGGGACCTGTGTGGGTAAATGCAAAATTACCAAACCCTGGGGCTTCCGAACTACCAGACTTACACTTCCTCTCTTCTTCCTGTTGTCCACGTTTCCTCATAATGAGTTGATGGTTGTTTAAAACTCATCACAGGCCATACCCTGTAAAGCCCCAGTGGCACAGTGAGGTAAGCATTGGGCTACTAATCAAAAAGGTCAGCGGTTCAAAACCAGCAGCTGCTCTGGGGGAGAAAGATGAGGCAGTTTGCCTTTTTAAGTTTTTATTATGAATTGAGCGTTAGTTTACATGGGAGAACATCACTTTTACACTCATTGTTTCATTACAATGATTACAGTCTTCTCTGTGTATCATCATTCAACAGTATTTGCTTCTATTCCCTCTGGGTTTTTTTTTTTTTTGGGGGCGGGGGATACACACAAAAACACTCAGGAATATATAATAATTTAAACCACCAAAGGACACATTCTGTAAGCCTGCCTCCTGGCTGCCAGCACAGTCTTTCTCTTTCCATGAGTCTAGAGTCCTCAGCTGCTCCCTCTCTCTATGACCTCATCTCTGTGTCCATCTCTGGTGTCTCTGTTTCTCTGAATACCGTCCCACATTCCACTCATGCTCTTTTCCCTTGATGGTCCTAGGGTCCTCTGAACTTGGACTGTAAGATTAACTACTCCCCCCTTTTTGTTACAAAACTTCTACCTTGACTGTTCTGACAGTCGCAATTAGTTATGTTAACAGTTACTCACTACTGAATCATAAGAATCTTATTTAACCCATCTCTTTTAACCAGACCCATCTTGACAAGATGAAAACTATTCAGTGGGGACTTTTCCCCAGCACACTCATAAACTGAACTCCCTCTTGAAACCTTGTAAGCCAGTCACTTTGTGCCTTTATCGCCCCTCGTTTTGGGTAGCCCATGTCTAAGTTGCCCATCCCTATCTACCCTGTATACAGAGGGAATAGCACTGATACTCGATGTGAAGACTCCTTCCCTCTCTGTTGGTATTTTGAGCAACTACCTCTATGAGTATAGGTCAAGTTCATCAAATTGTAGCAATTTCTTGAACAAAAAACAAGTGTAAACTTGTTTCCTTTAACAAAAATGTTTTTTTTCATCTTCCTCTAGTCAAGTTCTAATTATCAAGCTATTGAGGCTAGATCAAATGGGTACTCTCTGCAAGTTTGGGCATTTTTGTGTGTCTCCTTTCACTTCATATCAGTTGGGTGCTTCACTCTCAGCTCTAGCCCTCTGTGGCTATGTCCTTGTCCATGGACTCAGGAGTTCCCAGTTCTCACCACATTTCAGACCAACCAGCCCTTCCTCTTCTCTCATCTTCAGGTTAACAGGTATCTATGGAACGTGGTTGAACTCAGCCCATTTCTTCATTGCTGCCTTTCCCTCTCATCCACTCACCTAGTAGACCAATGTGGTCACCAACAAGCTTACATGGCTGTTCATGTGGTGTTCCTTTTGAGTTCAATCTTGGAGAGGGGTTTGTCCTGAAGGGACTTGATTGCTTCCCTTGATGGCACCCCGGCGAACAACTCGGTTGTTCTGTTAGTAGCTAATCAGACTGCCGTATTTGTTTTTGATTTTTCCTGCTCATCTTTCTTTCAAGACGCATCTTCTGTTGCTCTAGCTGTTCCAGGCTGGCTGGTCTGCTTGTCCTTTCCAGTGGGAATACCTTACCTCAGAAGGTTGTGAATGGGACTCAGGATTCCACCTAAGGTCCTATACACTACCAAGGCTCTATAAGAAGCCTATTTCACTGGGCAAATTCTAGAACCTCTTTTAGGTATTTCAGTCAGTTATAGACTGAAGACGGGCTTACAAGCTTTCTGTAATCACGTTTCCTGACATTCCTTTCTATCCCACTCAAGTATCTATTTTACAGTAGTAGGCAAGGGAAACCAATATTCGTAAGTCAGTCAAGCATCTTAGTATTCTTTCCCCTCTTCAGACTATGCCTCTGTCCCTGTATCACAGAGCCCTGTTGTTCCAAGGTTGAACATACATCACTATTTACCTCTCTCCCATTTAACCTGTGCAAACCTGTCTCAGTGTTCCCCAATCTACCTTGTTCTTCTATCCCTCCCTTCTTGTTTATAGCCTCCTCCAACACCGGAACTATGATGTGTCTGCCCCCTACCCTGTGCTCTACCGTCTGCTCTGCCCACCCCCAGGCAGTTTGCTTTTGTAAAGATTGACACTCTCGTAATCCTATGGGGCAGTTTTCCTCTCTCCTTTAGGGCTGCTGTGGATTGATAGCCAATTGTGGATTGGCTTTTGGTGACACTTGAAGAGGCGGTGTTGTAAGATGCTGTAGAGTTGGTTCCAACTTCACAATGATCCTGTGTACCACAGAGCAAAAAATACCTGCTCTAGCGCCAGCCTCACAGTTGTTCTAGCTGGGCCCATTTTTCTAGCCCTGTGTCAGTTCATCTCATTGAGGGTCTTCCCTTCTTTGCTGACCCTTTAGCTTACCAAGCATGATGTCCTTCTCCAGGGACTGGGCCCCCCTCTTGACATCTATGTGAGACCAAGTCTTGCCATCCACACCTCCAAGGAACATTTCAGTTGTACTTCTTCCCAGACAGACAGATTTGCTGGTTCTTCTGATAATGAGGAGTCTGGGATCCAGAGTCAGGTGGCCAGGACTAGTGTTGGTGTTTACTATGACTCTGTGTTCCTGGACAAGTGACTGCACTCCTCTGAGCCTCATCTGTGAAATGAACATGATACTGACTACCTCAGAAGGCTTCTGTGAGGATTGAAGGGACAGAGGGCTTCTCAGGAAGTGTTACTCAAAGACCACTCAGTGAATACCGGCTGCATATACTGTTATGAGTATCATTATTAGCGTTGATTGAAATGGAAGGAACCCTAATGGTATAGTGGTTAAATGCTTAGCTGCTAACTGGAAGGTCAATGGTTCAAACCTACTAGCTGCCACTTTGAGAAAGAAGGATATGACAGTCAGCTTCCTTAAACATTTTTCGTTGTTAGGTGCCATCTAGTTGGTTCGATCTCATACCATGTACAACAGAATGAAACACTGTCGGTCCGACATCCACAGTTTGTTGCTGTGTTTGAGTCCACTGTTGGAACCATGGTGTAAGTCCATCTCAGTAAGGGTCTTCCTCTTTTGTGCAGATCTTCTACTTTACCAAGTGTGATGTCCTTGGGTCAGGACTGGTCCTTCCATAAGAAAGGCAGAGCCTTAGACACTCTGGGGCAGTTTCACTCTGCCCTACAGGGTTCCTAGGAGTCAGAAGTCACGTGATGACAAGGTGTTTGGTTTTGTTGAGCCAGTTACATTATTGTTGTTGTTAAGTGCCGTCGAGTCGGTTCTAACTCATAGCGACCCTGTACAGGCTTTCCGATGCTGTAAATCTTTACGGGAACAGAAAGCCTCATCTTTCTCCCGCGGAATAGCTGGTAGTTTTGAACTGCTGACCCTGAGGTTCGCAGCCCAATTTGTAACCACTACGCTTACCAGCACTCCTTAGTTACATTGTAGGCCCCCCACCCCCCCTGTTTATTGACCTGAGTGTTTCTCTCACTGACTGTCCTTGAAAATGAAAGGTCCCACCTTTCCCTTGGTGAGCTACCCTTAATGTGGTTTGATATTTGGCCAGTTTCTGGTTCTTTTGGTTATCCAACAAATTACCCTAAAAGTTGGTGACTTAAAACCACAGAATTTGATAATTTCTTAAAATTCTGTGAATAAACTAGGCAATGGTCCAGGACACAGGGTCTCTTTTGGGACTCTGGGAAGGCTGGAGGATCCACATGACTTCACTCTGTCCTGGGTTGTCGGGCTTGGTTCCCTTCCCAGT